ATATATATATATATATACCTATATCTAAACTAAACAAATAATTAAGGAATTATTAAATGTACACTGAATGTATTATTTTTGTATAAATCATATAGTATGTGTGCACTACACGTGTGTACACACATGTAGCCTACTCAGAGAAAGTGAATAATCTGTGTATGAAGAAAGTACAACAAATAGGTCGATCCGCAAAGAAATTGTAATGCGACACTATTCACTTGTAATGATGTTAATCCATGTTTTAGCTAGTCTATTTTATTATCACCAAGAATATATGTGTTATATTGTAATCATGACAAATACATGTTGAACGTAATTGGAAATTTGGCCTTTAATTAATTGCTATTATTACTATCATCATCATCTCAGTGACATAGGGAATCGTTTGTGCTGCTCTTCTATCATGATTGTTCGATCCATCCTCTCAGTAGCGATACGTTCGATTCGTTCAAATAATTTTGTATGACCTGCGATGCATTTGCGAAAATTACGGCGTTCCAACTTGTAAACCTCGCAGATTTCAATTGCTATGACTGTACCCACTCGCCTTTGATCTTGAACTAATAGGGCAACTTCACCAAAATGTGCACCTTCTTCTAGATGACAAACCTGATAATTTAATTAGCTAAATTATTTTTATGAAAAAAAGGTAAAAATTACAACAATATTATAATATTTCTTCACTTCTTGGCCCGTCGGAGTGAAAACAGCCACTGTTCCACTGTTCAAAAAATACATGCAGTCCCCTTGAGTTCCCGCTTTGACGATCACATCATCCGGCAAGTATAGTTGGAATTTTAAAGTAGAAACTATTGCTGATATGGTTTCATTCGGTAGATCTTTGAATAAAATGACATTCTCTACGAGTCTTCTGCAGGAATGCAAAATTATTTCCTCCAATAATCGACCTGATATTAGTGATAATTAAATAAATTATTTATAATATAAATTAATAAAACAAATAAAAGAAACTTGATATATCACTTGATAGAGTGGACAATATCTTTCTCTCCTTAAAATAACAATTTCGAAATCTAAATGAGTAATAATTCTCCAATCGTCTCTTTATGTGGAAAGGCAGTTGTTTTTGTCGAGTGTATGCGGCTATCTGGTTCATAGTCTCTTGGTATTTTGATTGGGCCGCTTTCTTGTCATTCTGTATTTGTAGGAATAAAACTGGCCAATATCTTGTCATTAATGTAAAGACGTAGTTTGATTTTCATTGGTTTTAATAATAATTGTAATAATAAAAAAAAATATATGAAAAATATGGACAAATTATTACTGATTATATAAGTCTCGAAAACTCTTCCCAAGATCATGAGAACCGTGCATATGATCATTTGAACTTCCAAGTCTGGCTCGATTCCACCGAAACCACTGGCGACAAAATTTTCAAGGACAATAAAAAGGGCATGATGAAATCGAGCGGGGATTCCCTCATTTTCCAACTTTGCAAGCCAGCATGAGCACTCCTGTTTGAGGGAAAGCAAAATCTTCACTGAGTAATCATTAATTATTATTTCATTGAACTCTTAGCAGCATTTTATATGCTGCGCTTTACCTTTACAGAGACATGTTGCGCATGCATTACAATGACCGCTGTGAGGTAACAAAAACAGGCAAACCAGTGGACAATGTAGAATGACAAACCTAAGATGCTAATCATGCGGTGAGTAAAATCTTTTATTTGGAAATACTGAAAGTTATTAAAAATTACGAAATTGCAATTATTCAATTTTCATATATCAGAGAGAAAAAAAAAGAAACAAATATTGTTGTTTCTTACTCTAAACAATTGAGAAACATAACAATGAAATGTTAAATATCTGAATATCTTTATAATGGGGATGAGATTAAGCACAACTGTGGCTAGGGAAGACTCTGGACCCGGTACCGTTCTCCATTTATGGGTCAAATGGTCATAAGATACAGATGTTACAATGTCAAGTACCAAATAACCTTTGAAATACTTGCTAGAATGGAAAATTCGAACAATTATTAAATATAAAATTTTCTGGAAAAGCCCATTTTTCTCTTGTCAAGTTGAGCTCTTATACATATGTATGTGAAAAACATTTTGTTTTCTTTATCTTACTTTAAAATAACACTGTGATCAAAAGAAACTCTCCTTTGTTCCTTCACATAAACACCAGTGATGCAATTCACTAGAATATTTATCCAGAAAAAGCCATAAAAAAATATATTGATTTTGTCAAGCCTCACAGCATCATAATCGAAAACGATAAAACTAGTCATGAACGGAATCGTCAAGAATGAAATTCCGTAGATAAATGTCATGACTGTCTCCCAAAAAAACCTGAACAAGTACAATCCCTCTTATTTTGGGTTTTTACAATAACAATTGAAAAATAAATTCAACTAACCTTGCGGCGCTCAATGGATGCAATATCCACCAGTTTTTATGTTTTTCCTGCCTTCTTCTCTCCATTTTAATCGCTGAAATACTCTCGAAGTAATCTCTAGTTTTTGGATGATGTTGATAACTTATGAGACGCCATAATTTTAATTGCATATAATATTCACTAAATTTTAATCGTTTTGCGGCAAATCTAGGTAGATTCATGTTTATCACGCCCATTGCCAAGATATTAGTACAAGAGGAAAAACAATGAAAGGATAGAGAATGACTCTTAGTTGGGGGGGAAGTTCATCAGGGAACTTTTTCTTCATATATTTTTTCAGTTAGCTATTCCAAATAAAAGAGCAACGCAACAAATTTTTGCTCAATAAGAAAAAAAAAATTTATTTGACACATTTTGTTTCATCATTCTGTAAATAAAACTGAATACTTGCATAATGAGAGCAATAATTTTAACATTCACACGATACAGATCGTTCGAATTGTTTTACATTTTAATATGTATAATAAGTATTTACTCATCATTATATATCCTATTTTATTCTGAGGACCTTAAATATTATTATTGTCCATACAATATGTTCGCATAACGTCATTTCAGTTTGTTTTAAATGTTGCAACATTACATACATATTAATCATAATAATATATTAATTACCTAAAATACTCACAATTAACAGTAATAGGTTCGCGGTAAGTCTACTATGATATTCATTTGGAATTGATAAGTATGAGAGATATTAATGAGAAATAGACAACTTGTTACTTCTATTTAATCTCTTCTATGGTAATTTCATGAGTATTTTAATCACTCATCCAACAATTCACCGAATCACACGTATTTTATCAATCAATATGAGTATTTTCAAACAAATGTACTTTGAAATATGCGAGGTATGTTCCCAAGTGTATGAAAATTGAAGAAAAAAAAATTAACTAGAAAGAATTATTAGAGAATCTAATGTACAAAGTAGACTTGTTTAGCTACTAATAAATGCTGATTTTGATTTTTTACAATGATAATGATAGTAACACTGTTGTCTCAATGAGGATATTCATAGATTTTAAGGCACTCTGGGTTTATTTGATAACTTTTAATGAAAGTTTGGGGATTAATGATCAAGAGGACAACAATTTTTCCCCCAGCAGGGAAATCAATCTTCTGGCAAAAAAAAGAGTGATTGATGGCCCTCCAACAATTATCCATTATCATTCTGTCGATTTACAAGATATGAATTTATATTATTGTAGAATTACTTAACATTAATAAATGCTTTTGGTACTGTCTAAATAACTACACTTTATTCTAAATTTTTTTAATTCTCATTCTCCTGAATGTTGAAATTGTTGTATTACACTTATGGATAATTATAAATGCATTTGCATGGAATTTATAAAGATAATAAATGCTTTATCTATTATATTCGTTTTTAAATAAATCTGTACATGATGATATTTTGATTTGAAAAGAACTGAAAGTCGAGTGGCTTTTCGACAATAATAGAATATAATTAAAAAAAAAATAAGTTCCTCCTCTTTAGAGGCTTTAATGCAGTAAAAAAAAAATATGACAAAATAATTCCAGCTAGGAGAATATCAAGATTTTATAACGTACAAGATAAACTATATTCATATACAATATAACGTGTTTAAAAGTACGTACAAGTATCTTTCGGCAAATATTTAACATTACTTTGTGGCGTATTTCACTGGAAAATAGAGCAAACAATCCTAAGAACAAAGAAACTCAAATTGCTAATGAAAAACAAATTTACCGCGAACCAAAGTTATGAGTTATGTAGCATGAAGAAAATTTGAAAAATTGTAAAAATCATTTCGCCTTTAAAACAGAGTTGGTTGTTGGTGAGGATATACATCGATACGTTCTCGATGCTGTCCAGTGCAAAAGTCATCACCCACGGATAAGAATATTGAGAAAAAAAAAATGTACTTGATTCCGTACTTTAGATGTATTTATGGATAAACGTTCTAAGGCTTTGGCAGTGAACGAGATTGCTCCATTGCGTTCGGGTTCTCTTCCATTGAAAAAAAATATTTTTCTGTGAAAATCATCGATTGGTGATTGGGCCTTCCATTTACCGCGAACGGAGTAGTACTCGTGTTGGGGAGTTAGAAGAAACGTTTAGTTGATCTTCTTCTTCTTCTTCTTCTGGTTAGTTTGGATAAGTGTGGACCTGTTGGTGGGAGTTGACCAGCTTCGGTGCAGGATCTACAGCAGAATACGGCGTAGTACTGGTGTTGACAGTATTTGGCTTTTACAATCAGATCACATTTTGCAAAGAAACTGTTGTCCCGACAATCTGGATGAATGTAGATTCCTGAAAGAAGTGTATAAATAGTTTGTTATACATATATTCGAAGAAGAGAAAATATATTCTTATGAATATTAATAATCAATTTGAGTAAATAATTACCTGATACATTAATATCAAATTCAGCAGAATCACTTGAATACTCATTGGCAGCTTCACAACGATACCGTCCTGTATCATTATAACCAGCGTTGGTAATGGTAAGTCTATTTGCCTCTGCAATTAAATTAAAAATAATAAAAAAATTAATAATTTCAAGTTTCTGGAATAGTTAAAGTAGAAAAACAAAACAAACAAAACAATCACCAGAAATGGTAACTCGTCCATCAGTTCGAATCAAATCATCGTTCTTAAACCATAGAACTCGTGGGATTGGATATCCATCGACAGCACAACCAATGCTGATTTCACTTCCCACCGGGAATTCACTCCCCGATGCTGATACGTTAACAATAACTGGTACTAAATCAAAAGAATATTCAATTATAAAGACAACAGCCAGTAAATCAAATAAAGTGGAATAAAAATTAATATTTAAAAAAATTGAGTAAAATGGATAATTAATTAAGTTATTGCACAACATGCCAATAAGCCAAATGATATATATTATATTATATTATAATCAGTATATTATTACAGTAAAAAGTAAAGAAAAGTCAAGAAAATAGTGAGGCAGTCCAAGTTTTACCAATTGATTAGTGAATTCCTTTTTACCTTTGAATCTAGCAGATGGTGGTGATGATGCAGTAAGAGGATTGGCAGGAAGTGGAACATAAGGAGGTGGTTTGGCATTTTGATAAATCGGTGCATAAGTGAGATTGTAATCAGGAGCTTGAGTCCTGGCAGGTCTGTAAGGATATTGCGGACGATCAGTAGGAGGTGCTCTCGGTGGTTGAACCAAATACTTGACATATTCCATATGCTCAGGCTTGACATTGTAAACTGGCCCAAGGGCCTGCAATGTCACAGACCAAGAAGCTGGACGTTCAATGCCATTGAATGCCTGACACGTGTAAACCCCAAGATTGGTGATAGTAACGGATCGAATGAGGAGTGAATACTCGGGATTTTGTTCATAATTCTCAGAGTGTAGTGGTAGCATTCTATCTCCATGCCACCAGGTGACAGCGGGCCTTGGCCAGCCCATTGCGTAACAGTACAAAGTCGTTGGGGAATTGATTGCCACTGTTACGTAGGTATTCTGTTGGCCAACTATTGCTGTCGAGTGCTCGTGGGGTTCTGGTTAGAGGAAATTACCACATGCACCCGGTTAGTTATAAACCCCACAAAATAATAATAGTTGCTTTTAATTAGACTGCTACTTATAATATTACTATTATTGATGAAACAATACAGTCATTAGCAACAACAACAACAACAACAACAACAACAAACACCGACCATCAATAATAATTCATTGACTTACCCGTAATGTCTAATCTGTACTCGGTTCTTGCTGGTGGTGCAAGTCCATTATCAGCGATGCAAATGTAGACACCACTATCTGTGGTATAAAGATTGGTAATTCGGAGAGAACCATCAGGAAGAATGATTTTTCTCTCTTCAGCTGCTTGAATCTGAAGAAAAAATAATGACAATGAGTCATTGGTTGTCTGCTGACAATTTGCCTTTTTTTTTTCTTTCTTTTTCTACCCAACTTGTATACGTACAATTTGTGAGTCCTTCTTCCAAGTAATAATGGGTTTAGGACTTCCAGTAGCAATACATGTCATGATGACCATACCTCCTTCTTCACCAGAAACTTGTGGCTCTTTTGGTTGTTGAATAGCTGCTGGTTCACCGCCATATGGAGGAATGGTAACATAAGAAGCAGGCGTTGGTTCAGGCTGTGGTTCCTGAGGTGGTTGTTCCAAGCACGAGCTTCCACAGCCATTGTTGCAACACTTTCTCTCGTCAGGGCAGTCTGCATCGTCACGACACTCTTGCTCACACCTAGTGCTGTTTGAGACCACTGGACAGCTTCCCAATTTTGTCACTGATCGACACTCGCCTCTGTACTCGGTACCACCTTCTGGCGAGGCTGCCAGTATTATTGAGCACCTTGTGCCACCTGGACAGCTAACGATTTCGCTGCACGGATCGACGCATCTGCATCTTCCGCAATCTTGATCGTCGACAAACTCTTCTTTTCCATAGGGACAACGCATTTGGGCACACTCTTCTTTGGCTTCCATGCACGGCTCCTTTGATTGATTCTTATTGCCTACGTCTATTTCATTGCTCGCTAGAAAAATTATGAGGAGAAATCATCATATTTTACATATTTTACATATGGGACATGATAAGGTGGTGATGGATTGATCGAGTTGATTCAGTAGTGAAAAGTTTTGCCAATAAGTTTAATGATTTTCATATTGTTTGAATCATGCATCATCAATTAATATATGCTTACTTCTGTAACACATGTGCATACACGACTCGAAGCTCTTAAACCTATTACGGTTACCACCACAACCAGTGTAAATGAATGCCATGCAAGTTTGACGTTCCTCGTCAAAGTAGAAACGCTTGTAACTGCCACTTGGGCAAGAGCCCACATCCACTTGTTCTCGACAGATTTCTGTATCAGTATCACCATCACCATCCAGGATTAGAACAATTGCGTGCATACGTGTTTTAGATTTGACAAAATCAAAGTCATTGTTACGGCTTTTTTTTGTTTTTTGTTTTGCAGAAAAAACTCACCAAGATGAGAGAGGGCAGTGTCATTTCCGGCAGGAGTAGGCTCTTCGCGATGAATACAAACCGATTCGCACTCTGGTTGTGTGCTGAATCTGTTGGCATTACCATCACAGCCTCCGTAAAAGAATTGACGACACGCACGTGCACTTGGATCATAGTAGAATTTGGGGAAGAAGCCACGACAAGGACCAGCATCAACCGATTGGTTGCACATATCTGAATATATCAAGAAATAAAAAAAAAATGAGTGAAAAAATCAATTTTCACCAACTATCATTTTCGGGGGAGTGGAAAACTAAAAACTAAAAAAAAAAGAAAAAAAATCTTGACAAACCTTGACCATGGAATCGTCCACAAAGACGTTCACACTGCTCCTCCGTTTGGAATCTATTGGCATTGCCTCCGCACCCACCATAGATGAATGCCTGACATGTTTTCGACTGAGCATCATAATAGTAAGTAGTGATGTCGCCATGACAAGGACCAGCGTCTGCGGGAGCCATGCAAATTGGACTGCTAGGAACAACCTCCACGGTTGCAGGCACAGGCATCTCTGTCGGCCTTTGATGTTTAGGTCTTCGTTGACACTTGCTCTCGCAACTGGCACGGTCTTGAAAACGATTCCTGTTGCCCTCACAGCCACCGTATTCAAATTCTTCGCAAGTGTCAGTGTTCCTTTCGTAGTAGTATTGGATGACTGAACCACTGCAGGGGCCGACGACTTTGTGCATACTACAGACATCTACATCAAAATCATCATGATTAATGGGAAAAAAAAAAAAAAAAAACAATTGGAATGTCCCATATATTGCCGCCCTCTCTATAAGGTGAGGTAAGAAGGAAATTTTTCGATTTATATTTTGTCAGTATATGTACCTTGCACGTCTCCGCAACGATACTCGCACTCCTCTCTCGACTCAAATTTATTTCCATTGCTTGCACATCCACCGTAGACAAATTGTTTACAAATTCCATCTCTACTGTCGTAGAACCATTTTGTTTGGTTATTACTGCAGGGACCTCGTTCATCAGGGAGGAAGCACATGGCTGAGGGGTGATAATTTCATCAGAGAATTAATTAATTAATTAATCATTGGGATAATCGTTGATTATCCTAATGATATTTAATACTACTATTTAATAATACTTGAATGCGAGCCCACTTAATATTGCGTACTCGATAAGAGGATCACGTTGAAATCACATACCCGGTGAAAACTCCCGAGGATGGGGAGGTGGGGTGGCACTGGCTGATACACAGCGATTTATGCAATCATCCTCATTAACGAAATTATTCTCATTGCCATCACAGCCGCCGTAATAGAACTTTCTGCACTGCTTGTCGCGCGAATCAAAGTACCAGCGTAGAGTATAATTGTGACACTCACCAAGTAGCGCAGGAAGTTGACAAATGTCTTGTTCTTAATGGTGGCAGGGGACAAAAAAAAACACAAATAAATAAGAAATTCCGTTATTCCTCACATCTTTCCGATGAAATTTCAATAGCGATTTTTGTTGGAAAAAAAGCACCGACTGTTAAATAATTTCTCATTTTTTGCATTCCTTACCAATCTTTGGTGGACAATCTTTCTCACATGCGTCTCTAGACTCAAAGTTATTTCTATTGCCACTGCATCCCGTGTAATAGAATGGCATGCATCTGTTCTCCGATTGATCAAAGAACCATCTCGATAGTTTCTCTCTGCAGTTACCCTCGGCTCGTGGTAACAAGCACGAATCTGCCACCATATTAATTAATAATATACCATGCAGAGTTACAATTACATATATCATTCATTGTTAATAAATTATCACTAAGATGCACCCTTACAACCACTAAATCACTAAATCAATTGTCACAAGTGCCCCTCAGAGAGTCGCACAGGGTTAACCCGAGTCGAATAATTGGACCTGACAAGTTCTATTGAGGTCTTTCCGTTCAGAACTGGATAGGTCTTGGGAAGCCTCTTCAGAAGATCTCTGGCCCTTTGGCTCCGGGTGAATTTTTTTTTTTTCATTTTTCACTTTTTCCACATACTTTTGAAAGTTCTGAATAGCCCGTCGCTTAAATAGTTGGAATCAACGTTCACCCGGCTAAAAAATTCGATTTTGGCGAAAATCCACTTGCCCCGGCAAACCCGAAAATCTGACCCTTTGGCTGGGGCCAAAAAAATCGGTTTCTCAGTTTTCACTTTTTCCACATACTTTTGAGAGTTCTGAATAGCCCGTCGCTTAAATAGTTGGAATCAACACTCGCCCGACTAAAAAATTCGATTTTGGCGAAAGTCGACTTTCCCTCTGGAAAAACAAAAAATCTGACTCCGAGGGTTTCATTAGTATCAGCGGGTCAATAAATACAGAATTAACGTTCACTATTTTTTATTTAAACACCGCCTGCAAACGGGGAGATGAGGGTGGCTAAAATATATTCTGCAACCCTGTCTCCTCGTTGGCTACAAATTTCAACCCTCCGCATACATGCCTTCCCCTTCACCCGCCCGTAAAATCACGCGTTCTCGGTAGCATCGAGGAGGACTTGTCAGGACCGAAAAGAACTGAGGATTCGAAAGGTCTCTGGAAAAGCACGTCGCAGAACTGATTAGGACTTACCAGGTCCATCTAGGTCTGGAGAGATCTTGAAAGACCTGTGTACGTCCAATCAGAACCAAATCCTCGACTCGGGAAGAAGCAAATGGGAGTACGATCCAGACCGATATGACCGCTAAAATATCTTCATACACTGGAGATGTAAAGTGTGCACGTGACTTGGAAAAATAATAAAACTAAATATGAAAGGAGCTCTGGCTAAAAAACTACAGCTTGATCTGGCCACCCACCACCATATCTAACTCTGCGAGAAATTGCTCTATTTTCATTTCGTTTCTCAACTTTATACCTGACATCATCAGGCAACGCTCCTCGCAGTCTGCGCGCGTACGGAATTTATTGCCATTGCCTTTGCAACCCCCGTAAACAAATTGCCTACATGAACTGCTACTAGTATCGTAATACCAGCGCAGAAGTGAACCAGGACATGGCCCAGGATCTTTGTCGAGTGCACATTCGTCTTGAGTTACTGGAATGATTTATGTATCAATGATTGAAAAGGAAAAAATTTCTTGGAAAAATGAGCCACTAGTGTCTTCCATTCCATTTGAAAATCCCAGTTGTATTGCCAAAACCCCAGATTATTATTATTATTATTATTATTATTACATAGATAAAAATAGAAGAAGAATCAATATATTCAATGATGAATTTTACCTCGACTGCGACCAGGTTGGAGACATTGTTGTTGACAAGCACTCTGCGTGGGAAAATTGTTGTTATTTGGCTTGCAGCCACCATACTGGAACTGCTCACATGCTTGTGATTCCTTATTGAAATACCACCTGGTAAAATTCCCTCGACATGGTCCAATTTCTTGCTCCAATTGGCAAGGATCAGCATCATCACGAACAACGCAGAGAGACTCGCACTCTTCCCTGGTCTTGAATTTATTGGCGTTTCCGAGACACCCTCCGTAGATAAACTGTCCACACTGTTTTCTTTCAGCATCATAGTACCACACGGGATTATATCCTTGACACGGTCCAGAGCTCTTTGGCAGAGTGCAGATGTCCTTACCCTTGGGGCTGACACAGACATCCTTACACTCCTCCTGGCTGGCAAAAAGATTGTCATTACCTTGGCATCCTCCATACCAAAACCTCGAACATCCACCGTATTTGGTATCGAAGAACCATTTAACTGTAAAGTCCCTGCAGGGGCCCTTGTCTCTGTAGAGAGCGCAGGCAGCACCAGGTGCGGCAGGTAGGGCAGTTGTGCAGCCTTCAAAATTGTCACCCTGAGCCTCGTCGATACCATCGGGACAGCATCCGAATTTAGAAGCATCACACGTGCAGCCGGCAAAGTTGAGTCCTTTGGCAGGTGTTCGCTCGTCTGAGCAACATTTGAACTCGGTGTTTTCACATCCGCAGCCTTGACTGTGGGGTCCATTGGCAATGGTGACACCATCTGGACAACAGCCAAATTGATAAGTATAGCAGGGACAACCCTCGTAATTAGCTCCAGTGGCAGGGGTGAAATTATTGGGACAGCAGCCATATTGGGTGTATTGGCAGCCACATCCTTCATTGTTGGCTCCTCTAGCAGGTGTTTTATAGTCGGGACAACAACCGAACTTGCTGTACTCGCAGCCACACCCGTAGAGATTAGCTCCTCGAGCTGGGAGAATGTTGTCTGGGCAACAGCCATACTCCGATGTGAGACAGCAACCTTCTGCGTTGGGCCCATGAGCTGGGGTGGTATTGTCTGGACAACAACCGTAAGGAGAGGCCTGACAAGTTGCATAACATCCTTCCTCATTATCGCCAAGCGCTACTGTCACGTTATCCGGGCAACAGCCGAAGTAAGATGCTGTACAGTTATCAGTGTTGATAATTCCACATCCCTCAAAATTAACACCTGTAGCTGTTGTCTGACCATCAGGACAACATCCGTAGGTGGAGATGACGCAGTCTTGTTGTATTGCCACCGTAGACGTCTCCTCCTTCTCCTCCTCCTCTCCTGAGACGTCAGTCCATTGACTAGTCTCTTCAGTGACTTGTTGCTGCTCCTCGTCACCGCCGCAGCCTTGTTTGTTGGCTCCTGTAGCCGCTTTGATTCCGTCTGGACAGCAGCCATATTCCGTAACGTTGCAACAACCGAGCTTATTCTTTCCGAGTGCTAGAGTCTCCTTATCTGGACAACAGCCGAAATCAGTTTCATTGCAGGCTTTCTTGCACCCCTCAAAATCATTGCCTTCAGCCGGAGTGATACCATCTTGGCAACAACCGAACAGAGTTTCATTGCAGTGTTGAGAGGGACAATCCTCGGCCTCGTTCCTCGGCCCGGTAGCAACTGAGACGCCATCTGGACAGCAGCCGTATTTGGTTTCTTTACAGGTTTCCGGGTTCGGACAGCCCTTTCCAAATGGACCTTTTGCCGGTGTAATGCCATCGTAGCAGCACCCAAAGGCCGATGTCTTGCAGCTCTTTTTCCTTCGGATTTTGCACTTGCGCATTTTTTGCTCCTTGGAGATTGCAACATCCACTGGACTGATGGTTGTAAATAGATCGAGAATAGAGGATTTCTCGGTAAGGTCTGTCTCTGTCTCGTCTTCTTCTTCCTCTTCTTGACTCGTTGTAGTCTCGTCACTCGATGACGGCACAGTTGTTTCTCCTGATTCTGTTATTTCACCGGACGTTGTAGATTCTTCTGTTGTTTCACTTTCAGTCACAGTCACAGTCACAGTCACAGTCTCAGTGGTAAAGTCAGAGCCTTGAGTGGACAACTCCGTGGTCAACTCGGATGATACCGTCGTTTCTCCACTCTCTGTTGTTCCTGTTACCGATTCGGTTGTTTGAGAAGAATCACTCGTTGAGGAAGATTCTGTCGACATTATTGACTCTGTAGTTGCTTCACTTATCGCGGAGATAGTTGATAAATCAGAATCAGTAGATGATATTGATGTTGATTGTGATATTTCGCTAGTACTTTCTAAAGATGACACCGTAGTTTCATCAGTTTCACCAGTCTCCTCAGTCTTATCACTATTTTCAGCTTTGTCAGGATCATACTCTCCTTTGACACTGGCAATTGTAAATGGCAGTTCAATTTCCTCATTGGTGGACTTTGTAGAACTCTCCGATGAACTTTCAGTTGCACTCATGTCTGTACTAGATTCAGCGCTTGATTGTGTAACTACAGACACAGTAGACTCAGTGATATCAGTTTCGGAAGAGGATGTAGTTTCGGTTGGTTGAGTGGTGACTGTTTCTGTTGTCTCAGTAGAAAGTGTGGAGAGTGTAGCAGAAGAAGAAGAAAAAGTTGAAGAAGATACCGTTGTCTCATCATTATCAGATTCAAAAGAACCTGTTGTAGTGTCAGAAATTTCTGAAGCAGTGGTTGATTCGATTGTAGTATCTTGGCTGGATTTAGAGGCAACAGATGAAAATTCAGATGATGCAGTAGTTTGTTCATTGGTGGCTTCCGTAGTAGTAGTAGTAGTAGTAGCTAAAGATTCCGTACTACTCTGATAAATTTCACTTGCTCCTGATACCTCCTCTGTTGTTGTTTCCTCTGAAGCTGCAGACACATCCAAACTAGCAGTTGATGCTGATCCTTCAATCGCTGAAGATGAACCTTCAGTGCTTTCGGGAATTTCATTAGATTCAGAAGACTTGTCAGCCGGCCCTTCACTGGTCGTCTCCGCCATCTCTGTGTCTGTCATCTGTCCACTGGACTTATCATTAGTTATGGTTGTTCCACTTCCTTCTAGAGTGGAAAAATCATTGCTTGAAATTGGTAGGTCAGTGTAATAGCTTGTACTAAATGTCAACTCTCCGTCACCACTCTCCGCCCAACCACTGCTATAACCATTTCCGTCGTCAGTCGGTGAGATATCTCCTCGAGTGCTATCACTCATCATGAGGTCAGTGAAGCCAGTAATATCTGTCTCGTCGTGAGAAACGTCTGACAAAGACGGTGTCAGTTCTCCCAGATTTACTGAAGACGTTACAAACTCTTCGTCCTCATAAACCAAACAGTCGTCCTCTTCATCAGTAGGTGGTGTCGGTTTGTTAACTTCCACAGGGATTACTTCGTCCTCATCACAAGGTTGCTTATTACACTCTTCACTACTAAACATTATCGAATCAGGATCACAGTTGGATACTGCCACTAAGGTGTTATCTTTCATGCAGATCACCTTACGTGTATGATCCCCAACGCCACAAGGTTTTGTACACTCACTCCATGGTCCAGCATACCACTCACCCTTACATTCCGTTGTCACCTTTCCTGTGCATTCTTTAATGTCATTGTAACGATCCTCTATCACGCATTTTTCCTCTTCCACTTTCTTCAGTGTCACATCGTCCTCAAATGTTGCACAGAAAACCTTTCGTGTTTGAACGCCTGCACCACATTTCGCTGAGCACTCGCTCCACTGAGTCGCGTACCACTGATAGTCACAACCTTTTGAATGCTCGCATTCACGTGTCAATTGGGGTTTCTTTTCGGAATCACATTTGTCGTCGGGATAGACGGTTCCATCTTGAGTTGCACAATGTGCTGTACGCGTTTCCTGCGTTAGACCGCATTTATCATCGCACTGCAAAAAAAACAATGAATTTTCTTTAATAATCTCCATTCACTTAAAGGTATTATTAATATTAATATTTTTCAATACTTACACCACTCCACTGAGAGCTAACCCAATCAAGTCCAGCACAGGGACGTAATTCACAAGGCATCTCTTTCTCCGGTATCTCTCCCTCGCACTCTGCATCCTCCAGAACTTGGATTTTTCCGGCTTCATTCTTGTTGTAACAAATCACCTTGCGCGTTTGCTTACCTTGTCCACACAAATGATCACACTGAAAAATATTATTTAATGGACATTTATATTGCATGTGCAAAAGAAAAAGAAAATGAAAAAGAAAAAGAAAAAGAAAAAGAGAAAAAGCTCTCACTGGCTTCCATGGACCCAAATGCCATTGGGGACATGTGATATTGCTGTTACATGACTGGCTGGTCTCACCCTTTGCACCAACTTTCTCCATACAAGTGGAATCGTCGATGATTGCTGGAATACCACCGACCACAATCTGCTGGCATCTGATTTCTCGGTGACGCTCACCACCCTCGCCACACTGTTTACTACAGGGTCCCCATTCGCTTGAGATCCACTCGGGTGGACAAGGTAGCTCATTACAGGATTGGGTGTCAACGGGCTCCAATTGGGGATCACAGAGATTGTCATCTACTGGCTCATTGTCCCGCCGACGCACACAGTTGACAAGTCTTGATTGATAGCCTGCAAAAATTTCCAACTTACACAAGTCTAAAATTGTTCTAAAATTATCATTTTTTTAAATCGAACAACTATTCAACTCTTACCGCCGCCACAACTAGTACTGCACTCGGAAAATTCATCAGCAGTCCACGTATAACTATCTGGATCCCCTTGAGGTGAAAATTTCTTCGGAATACTGTATTCATATTGTACCCCGACATTATGGTCTTGGTAGAGAAGCTTTTTGAATGAAAATTGAAAGAGTCAGAAATATGATAAAACTTTGAGTTGATGGGCCAACTGGGTCAGAGCAGTTGGCGAAATAAATATTGTGGCTAGGAGGTACTCACGACTATATAAATTGCCTCTGTTGTGGGTCCCTGGGTAGTGATAGTGTCCGGCGCTGAGAAACCCTGTGGATCTCTAGCATAATGGAATATAGTTCCTGCGAATCTCAAACTCCTTGGAAAATCAATTCTCCAATTGCCATTAAGATAGTAATGACCGGACGTGTTTCGAATAGCTGCAATACCACAATTTTTCATTCAACTAACGAATTAATGAATTAATGAATTAATGAATTCCTTCAATAATTTATATTTTATGCTGTAAATAATTGCAATAATGGATAATGGGTAGATGTTTACCAAGGTAGTTATTTGAGGGTGATATTTCCTTCACAACGATATTTGTAGCACCCTCGGGAATCAAGAGAATGTCGACGTAGCCTGAAATCATATCAGATTTTGTTGTCTTTTTTTCTTTTCTTTTTTTTTCTCTCATCAATTCAAATACTAACCGACTTGTAGGTCATCTGTGTCGAACAGACCGCTTACGGTGTTGCAGTCGGAACCGTCACCACCACATTCTCTGCAGGCGTCCTCGCGAGCGTCACTTCCTAACATCATGTCACATCCCACTGGCTATCGATTGAACGATTGAACGATAAAAAAAAAAACATTTAAAAATTATCAACAAAAAATCAAAAGGATAACGTACCAAGCATTTTCCCTCAACACAAACATCATTTTTTTCAGCATCACAGGGTGTACCATCGATCACAGTGAGTTTATGTCTATAAAAGAAGCGCTCACCCCTTGGCATACAATTGAGCTCACACTTGTTTGGTCCACCGGTGTACGGAATCCAGCTGGCAAGTGAAATAAAGTGGATAATTTCTTTCTTTTTTTGTTTTTTGTTTTGTTTCTTTGTTTCTTTTATTCAAACTCAGTTGTACAAACATACATAATAAGAGGAAATATTCTGGTGTCTCGTCCAGGAAATCCTTTATTCAATATTACCCAGATTTCCTTGGGCTGCACTCCAGAATACAACACAGAAAGTTGTAATACTCACTCGTAAAATACACCCTCGAATGGCACTGTATTGAATTCGGCACACTGTTCGGTACGGAAGTCTGTCGTATTGGAACAGGGCTGGAGGATACATAAAATATTATAGTTTTGTAGTTGAACGGAATTACGGTCACGGGCAATGGATAATCATTTTGGTGTGCCTTATGTGGACATTCGAGTTTGATATTCAGGGTGAATGTATCGAGCTGTAAATGAACGTTGTTGAGGGAATGGATAATGAAAAAATAAGTGGACAATTTGCAACTGATTGCGATCGGTTCCGCCCACGTGTCCCTCACGAAAATTTACAAGGACCACAGAAATAGCAATAAAAATAAATTCATCTGGATGTTAAATGGAAAAGAAGGTATCCCCAGAGAGATAAATAGCCATGAAGATGATAGTCTTATACGTGTGCAAAGAAATAAACGAGGGTGAGGAGATGACGAGGGAATATTGTTCTGTATCCTCGCGGTTACGTCCCAGGCCAATGTCCAGATGACGTATTTTCTTTGGAGAAAACTGAGACATCTAGTCTGCTGGGAGTTTAAGTTTAGAATGAGTTATGTGGCTTCCGTCTTTCACTCTGTGTGAGTGTGTGTGTGTGTGTGTGTGTTTATCTCCCTTGTTTCGCTCAAGCCACTGGACTTAGCACACTCATCAAGTATGTCTTCAACTAGGGAATATAGATTTGTTGTACACAGACATATCTTCATGATGACAAGGGGATATTTTTTTACTGCAAACAATCTGTTGAAAATTAATACATTGCCATCTTTTCACCGGAAAATTTTTGCATTAAAATGTAAAATGCTCCTTTATTTGAAAATTGTTAATCTTATAATGTCGAAAAAAAGTTCAATTTTCACATCGGATTCTTCTGGGAAGTTTTATTAAACTTGACTCGAGCAATAAGAGTAGACTTTTTCACGAGAATTTGTAGAGAATAATCAGGATCAAGAGATGATAATTGAATTATCGAGGTTTTACATTTTCCATGAATTTTCTTTGTAAAAGTTGGGATGGTGAAGATATTAAACAAGAGTGCTGAGATGGTATGGGGATTCAAATGAGTGACAGGACAGCCAATGAACAATATACTGTATACAATATACAAATCGCCTTGCTTATCACTGAGCTGCATCTCCGGCAATGAGAGACGCAAGAAATAAGAGGGCAGGAGGTAAAAGGACAGGGTGAAGCGAAACTCTGAGATTCTTTATCAAGCTAGAGGCGGCTAATTAATTCGGGGAAGAGTCGTCGACAGTAAAAGTGAGCATCTGTCTTTCTACCTACACTTAGTGCCGTCTCGTGACTTTTATTTCATTTATGCCAACGTAATTGCACAATTGGAGTTGAAGTACGCGACACCACTCAAATTAATTGAATGACTGAATTTGTTAAAGTTCAAAACCACTAATGGAAACATTCAAGCGTTTTTTTAAGAAACGATATCAATCTCAAACTTTTCACCCTCGTTGGCCCCCCTTTCTTCATGTTTGATCACAATTACAAATTATACGAAATTTGTTCAAATCACATTATTGGATCTACAAACATTGAAAAAAAAAAAAGATTCCGGAATTCAATCAATCAAAAATACTTACTTGAATATTACACGAGAAAAATCGCCGTTTGGCACCTGTACATCGATCATATCCATTGTCACTGTAAAAAAAAAACAGAAATATATCTGCCATTTTGTGATTCTCTCTTATAAATTTCCAACCGAATGAAAAATAGAACCTGGAAATCTAATCGGCTCTCACAGACCGTTGGGTTTTTACCTTTTCTCGCACTTCTGTGTTTTTTCTTTCTATCCTTGAGGAAAAGTCGAAGGAATTTATATGCGAGAAGAAAACGAGCCAAAAATCCACACGCGATTGAAAAAAAAAATCCCAGTCCAGTTTAAACCCCTGACGTTTAGTCACCTTTTATATTCTTTTTATTTTCCACCGCTATCCAATTTTTTCATTCAACCCCTTTTCTGCTTTCTAATAATTCAACTCTTTTAACCAGAAAGAATCGCACTCGCAAGTAGAGGGCGAAAAGAGGGAGAATGCCTGGTGGCTATTAAATTCGGGTTACCGATAAAACCGGTTTTCACTGGTGAATTATTATTTCAGCGCCTCTCTCTGCACTTCGTTGGCTCTCCGCTGAGAGTGCGATTAATGGATTTTTTTTTAATTCATAGTCTTCTGTATTAAAATTTTACGTACCGCACATTAACATTTTTTTTCCTATTGAAATTTGGAGGAAACAATTGAAGTGGAAAAAATGGAATTAAATTTCAACGCTGGGATGTGCAGATTTTCTAAACGAAAAATCCGTCGTTTAATTAATGAATTGAATGTGTGAAATGTTGAGCGGACGTTTTGTTAAATCTGATGGATTTGAAAGTGATACTCACTCTACGTCGAGACATCGTCTCGCCTGATGGGCAACACCACCTCCGCACGTGCGTGAGCAGGATGTTGGGGCTGACCACGGACCCCAGAGGCCCTCCTCCGGGTCGTCATTGTCTGCCACGAAACTGCTTGGGACGTAACCTTCGCCGTGCTGTCTACGGTGTCTCAGGTGTCTGAATTTTAAATGATTCTGCAAAAAAAAATGTTTACTATCTATCCTATTGTGTTATTTATTTTTTTCGGAAAGTATTTCATCGGAGGAAAATTTTACACAATGTGAGATAATAATTACAGCCATATTCCCAAAGACAATACGTATATTTTTGCGTACTCGTTTTGGATAAAGTAGAATGGGGTAAGGAGGAATAAGAGAATACATCTTGAGTTACAACTTTCGCGCTTGCCCTCTAATTACATCTGCCGTGCACACATCGTAACACGTGCGATGAGGGCAAAACGAGCCAAGCTGAGTAACCCACTGTCTCACTCTATCCTCGATTATTATCGTATTAAGCTTTCCAGTTGTTAACGTTAAATCGCACAAGCGTTTAACTTAATTTTCGCGTTGCTGGCATTATTCGACTAAAAACAGCTAACTTGGTTGTGATTTTTCATGCATCAGGTAATAGTTCCAGGTGAATAAGTCCATAATTATTCCGGCAACGAAACAAAACGAAAAAAATTTTGAATCGTTTCTGCATTAATTAAAAGAATTACTTGTTAATTACCAATTTTTTTCACTAGTTATTTATTCAATTTCACTATTATTTAGAGAGTGATTAAGAAAAGAATTAAACTCACTCACAATGAGATTAATAAAGTATCCCGAACAGCGAGCGTTTATTCTCATAAATCACAAAAATTTTTGTCCACTCGCGGATTTATGAATTTCCCTTTATTTAATTCGTTTTATCGTGCAGCCAGCATTTTCTGTGGGTTTTTCACCAGGCCAAAAAAAAACAAACAAACAAATCCGAGAGACAAAAAAAACCGGCATTCGTACAAAACGCCGATAATTTTATTGCAGTCAAAAACCCCCCTCAGCAATGGAAGGCCAGCAGTAGTAGCGGAACAGGAGAGGTGTGGCACACTACAAAAATTCGGCCCTTAGGAGGGCTCTTAAACTAAGATCTAAGACTATAAGACTGGAAAAAAATCTTAAAATAAGAATAATATTAATTTTATTTTTCATTTTCGGAGCGACGGGGTGAGGGGTAGGGGGCGAAGGGGTTAGCGCAAAGTAATATTTAATTTTTTAATAGATGGAGGACGCGATCGAGGTCATATATGATGCAATCGATGCATCTGCATGTTACTTAGCCCATATTTTCAAAAAACTGAAATTTTAGTCAGTTTTTGGGTCCTATCTCCGATTCTAGTTCTTCTATCTAATTTCTCTCTTCTGGAAATTGAAGTTTAGCTCATTCCCCACAACTTTTGTTGTGTCAAATTCATTTTTGACGGAAATTGACGGAGATAGGACCGAAAAACTGACTAAAATTTCAGTTTTTTGGAAATATCTCCGGTGCTAATGGTCCTATCTCATTTCTCTCTCCTGGACATTAAAGCTGAGCCCATTCCCCACATTTTTTGTCTCAGTCAAATTCATTTTTGACGGAAATTGACGGAGATAGTACCCAAAAACTGACTTTAGTGACTGAGATTTTAATCTCAGTTTTTTGGAAATATCTCCGGTTCTAATGGTCCTATCTAATTTTTCTCTGCTGGACATTAAAGCTGAGCTCATTCCCCACATTTTTTGTGCTGGTCAAATTCATTTTTGACGGAAATTGACGGAGATAGTACCCAAAAACTGACTTTAGTGACTGAGATTTTAATCTCAGTTTTTTGGAAATATCTCCGGTTCTAATGGTCCTATCTAATTTTTCTCTGCTGGACATTAAAGCTGAGCTCATTCCCCACATTTTTTGTGCTGGTCAAATTCATTTTTGACGGAAATTGACGGAGATAGGACCCAAAAACTGACTAAAATTGCAGTTTTTTGGAAATATCTCCGGTTCTAATGGTCCTATCTCATTTTTCTCTCCTGCACATTAAATCTGAGCTCATTCCCCACATTTTTTGTCCTGGTGAAATTCATTCTTGACGTAAATTGACGGAGATA